TTGTGGTGGAATGATACAAGAAGGGTGCTGTAAGGCTAAATAGTCCCCAAAGAAAACTTTTTACACTTTTTTTTTTTTACAGATTTTCCACTATTTTCCATCATCAACATTCCATATAAACTCAGAAGACTCGTGTAGGTTCACTGGTGGTTCTGGATAGTAAATAAAATGTCTATGTTTGTGTTGTAGTCATGGCGACCCCTGGGTTTTTTTAGTGCATGTAAACTCTCACTCATTTTTTTCATTTATCTCAGTCTTAGCATGTGTGAAAACACAGCGCTGCCTTGGAAACAGCGAGCAGCAGTTAACACAGCACTCATGAGACCGACACAACACTTTTGGAGCGACACTGAAACCGAATTCATACTCGACAAAGAAAAGAAATGAAATATTCTTCATCTTCTAGATGATGTATGTTCATATTTTCTGCTAAAGTGACTCAAGGCATTAAAAAAAAGCCGCTCATGACGTTTGAGCTCAACGTTACATTTCTGACACAATCTGATTTTCTGCAGTAATCAGATTATTAAGTGTAAACATACTGTACCGGTTACTGACACAATCTGATTTTCATGGACATATCAGCCCGTATTGTTTTCACCCCACAATACCCTCCTATTAACATACACAGAAAACCAGTTCAGGTCATGAAAGTGCCTAGGAAATCCCACAGCACCGAACTGATTACACCTCTGAGCGCTGACTGCAGGACTAATATACAGTACAGATATATACAGTGATGTAGTGTACAGTGAGACAAAGGTATTCTGCTTTAATGAGGAAATTACACTCACCTTGTGCTTCTGGCCACTATATAAGAAACGGCCCCCTTGTACTTCCTCTCACTGGCCACTTTATTAGAAACACCTACTTTGTGCTTCCACTAACTGGCCACTTTATTAGAAATACCTACTTTGTGCTTCCACTAACTGGCCACTATATTAGAAACACCTACCTTGTGCTTTCACTCACTGGCCATTTTATTAGAAACACCTACCCTGTGCTTCCACTAACTGGCCACTATATTAGAAACACCTACCTTGTGCTTCCACTAACTGGCCACTTTATTAGAAACACCTAGCTTGTGCTTCCACTCACTGGCCACTATATTAGAAACACCTAGCTTGTGCTTCCACTCACTGGCCACTTTATTAGAAACACCTACCTTGTGCTTTATTAGAAGTTGGCTAACACAAACTGTACAGAGACTACAGTCTTTGTCTCAGGGGTGTCCAAACTTTTTTCAAAGAGGGACAGATTGTACAGTGTGTAAAAATACTTGAGGGCTGAAATATGATTCACAAATGATTCAGAATAAGTTTTCAAAATTTCAGCACACAGAATCGAGCTTTGTATTGTGCCTCCTATCACTGTATAAAAGATGCACAAGGCTTCTTTTATTGTTGGATTGTTCACAGCAATTTGGATTGGCAAGCGCATAGAACAAATAATTAAATCATCTGACAACAAATCAACAAGTCATCAAATGACTAGTTTATTAATTATATTCCTGTTCAAGTGTTTTTATTTGTTCAAAAATATAATTTGTGCGACAAAATAAACAAAAAAACTAAAGCAGATTAAACAGCATAAATAGTCACATTTTTGTGGTAATTGGTTTGTCTAGTGATCAATAGAATAAATGTATAAATATTACAGAAGAAATGACAGTAAAGCACAGGTTTATGTGTTATTGAAGATCAGGGGTATTAAAATCATGTGAAAAGTGATGTAAATCAGCTGCCAGCCATCATAACCAACCTTCACTATGACCACAGTACAGCTTTACCAGCTAAACCAAACCTGCTGTGAACCTCACTTCTTTTCTGAAGCTGCCACCTAGTGGTGATGATGCGCTCTCACACTGATCAGGGGTTAATAATGTGTGTGTGTGTGTGTGTGTGTGTGTGTGTGTGTGTGTGTGTGTGTAATTCATTATGTTCACCTCCTTGTTTCTACACTCACTGTCCAGTTTATCAGCTCCACTGACTGTATAGTTTCACTCTGTAGTTCTACAGTTACAGACTCCAGTTTCTCTGCATACTTTGTCACTCTGTTCTTCAGTGGTCAGGACCCCCATAAGACCCCCGCAGAGCAGGTATTATTTGGGTGGTGGGTCATTCTCAGCACTGCAGTAACAGTGGTGGTGTGTTAGTGCATGCTGCACTGGTGCGAGTGGATCAGACACAGCAGTGCTACTGGAGTTTTGTGATACCTGCTCTGTGGGGGTCCTGTAGGGGTCCTGACCATTGAAGAACAAAGTGAAAGGAGGTGAACAAAGTATGCAGAGAAAGTGTAGATGAAAGGAGGTGTATGTAATGAAGTGACCCGTCAGTATATAATATAACTTTAGAAACCTTCTTAGCCATTAATCTACGTTAATGTAAAACGATTCCAATTACAGTACATTTTGTAGCATTTCCACTTCACATGAAACGTCCACAGAACGTAAAGGATGGTGGGGAATTTCAAACTATGTTTAAAAAAAATGCGTGTGTGTGTGTAATAATAAATTAGAAAAAAACTGTCTACATGTGTATACATGCATTAATGTTTATTTGTGTTTATTCTTATGATAAACAATATTTTTTCCAGACATAAATTACACACATACTGCCCAGAAGAAGAGTTTTACATACACAGAATTGGACCAGGGGTACCCAAACTTTTCTCCATGAGGGAGACTCAGCTAAAAAAATAGCCACAGTTGTTTAAAGCACTCTATTTCTATCTGCGTCTGACTAAATGTGGTTAGAACTACATTTCCCAGAAGTCCACACTCTGCAAATGCTATGTCTTGCTACTGAAGCACTGTAATTTTCCTTCGGGATCAATAAAGTTCTATCTATCTATCTATCTATCTATCTATCTATCTATCTATCTGTCTGTCTGTCTGTCTGTCTGTCTGTCCGTCCGTCCGTCCATCCATCCATCTATCTGTCTACAGACAGGGCGCAAACAGGGGGGTTATGCAGCACATGTAACGCAAGGGGGCGCCAAAGCCACAGATTCAAACGCCACCGTCATAAACTTCAATATTTGAGCTCTAAATACAGCTTAAAAAACACTTTAAGGACGATTTCAAACATTCATATAGGAACTAAGTGCAACGCAAACAAACTGTATAGCATTGTTTTTATTAAGCTTCATGTCGAAACTGACTGATTGACATTATGTTAAAATTATTATATTATTTTCTCAAAATATTGACTTACTATGTCATAAATAATAAAACCATACTGATCCGCAAATAAGGCAATAACTCATTATTATTTCGAGATACTAAGTAAATGTTACGAGGAACTAAGGCTATTTTAAGACAGTACGTCAATCTTTCCAAACACAAGAGATCATTTCGAGGTTCTAAGTCATTATTTCAAGAAAGAAGAGATTATTTCAAATTATTAGTCAATATGTCGTCAAAATAAGATCATTTCAAGATACTAAGTCAATATTTACAAACATTTAAGATTATTTCAAAATACTAAGTCAGTATTTCAAGGAATAAGAGGTCATTTCGAGATACTAAGTCATTATTTCGAGATACTAAGTCAACATTTCGACAAAATAAGAGTATTTCAAAATACTAAGTCATTATTTCGGGAGTATAAGAGACCATTTTGACATACTAAGTCAGTATTTCAGTATATTTTGACATACTAAGTCAGTATTTCAGTATATTTTGGGATACTAAGTCAGTATTTCAGTGTATTTTGGGATACTAAGTCAATATTTCAGTATATTTTGGGATACTAAGTCAGTATTTCAGTGTATTCTGAGATATTAAGTCAGTATTTCAGTATATTTTGGGATACTAAGTCAGTATTTCAGTGTATTTTGAGATACTAAGTCAGTATTTCAGTATATTTTGGGATACTAAGTCAGTATTTCAGTGTATTTTGAGATACTAAGTCAGTATTTCTGTATATTTTGGGATACTAAGTCAATATTTCAGTATATTTTGAGATACTAAGTCAGTATTTCTGTATATTTTGGGATACTAAGTCAGTATTTCAGTGTATTTTGGGATACTAAGTCAATATTTCAGTGTATTTTGGGATACTAAGTCAGTATTTCAGTGTATTTTGGGATACTAAGTCAATATTTCAGTGTATTTTGGGATACTAAGTCAGTATTTCAGTGTATTTTGGGATACTAAGTCAATATTTCAGTGTATTTTGGGATACTAAGTCAATATTTCAGTATATTTTGGGATACTAAGTCAGTATTTCAGTGTATTTTGGGATACTAAGTCAATATTTCAGTATATTTTAACATACTAAGTCAGTATTTTAGTATATTTTGGGATACTAAGTCAATATTTCAGTATATTTTAACATACTAAGTCAGTATTTTAGTATATTTTGGGATACTAAGTCAGTATTTCAGTGTATTTTGGGATACTAAGTCAATATTTCAGTATATTTTAACATGCTAAGTCAGTATTTCAGTATATTTTGGGATAGTAAGTCAGTATTTCAGTGTATTTTGGGATACTAAGTCAGTATTTCAGTGTATTTTGAGATACTAAGTCAATATTTCAGTATATTTTGGGATACTAAGTCAATATTTCAGTGTATTTTGGGATACTAAGTCAATATTTCAGTATATTTTGGGATACTAAGTCAGTATTTCAGTGTATTTTGGGATACTAAGTCAATATTTCAGTATATTTTAACATACTAAGTCAGTATTTTAGTATATTTTGGGATACTAAGTCAGTATTTCAGTGTATTTTGGGATACTAAGTCAGTATTTCAGTGTATTTTGAGATACTGAGTGAATTGTTGGATGTATTGTGACAGAAACGGAGTCAGTAAAATACATTTTTATTTCTTTACATATTTTCATCTCTAAAAACTTTTAAAGTTTGAAGAAACGCCGGAGCCGCGTCTTAGGAAACTGACTGATTGGCCAGAGCGAACGTCAATCACCGCGGCCCCGCCCCTGAGTGGGCGTGACGGGCTCGCCTCGTTGGACTAAAACTTTGCAACATGGCGACTCAGCAGCTCGACGGAGCGGAGAGAATGGAGGGCGGAAAGCGAGCCCACCCCGGCTTCAGCGGCCACAAGTACTCCCTACTGGTGGTGGTGGGGGAGCACAGCGCCGCGGGGTTCGTGGAGTACCTGGTGGCGGAGATCGAGCGAGGTAAAGCGGCTGTTTTTCAGGCTTTTCGGTGTGCGCGGATGGATGAGGAGAGAGAGGCAGCCCGCCCTGACCGCCCCGACTGACCGCTCAGTCTCTCCAGCCTCAACTCTCTCAACTCTAAACTCCTCTTTCAGCTCATCTTCTTTAGCTCTTCTGCTCTTCCACGTCCTCATCCTCCCCTGAAGATGGGGGGAGCGTGTAGCCTGTGGAGGGAGAGAGGAATTCCCAGTATGACCATCAGAGGATGGAAATCTGGCAGTTCATATTTACTCTGTGAGCTGCTTCCCAGTTTAAGTCAGTGTATATCTGAGTAAATACATATTTCAGCTTAACACTGCGAATCTCCTGTATTGTATTATGGATGAATGCAGTTTCAGTGTTTTTCATCTTGTTAGTGTTGGAGGGCCTAAAGGTTACATACGCTAATGGACATGCTTTAATGGTTAATGGATACTGATTGATTAATTATGTCTAGAGCTCATTCTAACTGCATTTGAAACTACATTAGAAGTTGCTGGACCAGTGCCAGAGCCAGGACTGGCTTTTTTAAGCTCCTCGGCATGTATATTAAAATTAATTACACCAATTTGTCCAAATCTTTGTAATTCAGTGTGTGAGCTGTAAACAGAGCGATTCAGAGAGGTTTGGTGTGAAATGGTTCAGATGTCTTTACAGTGGTGGTGATAGGAACCAGGGGTCGCCATGACTACAACACAGATATAGACATTTTATTTACTATCCAGAACCAGCAGTGAACCTACACGAGTCTTCTGAGTTTATATGGAATGTTGTTGATGGAAAATAGTGGAAAATCTGCAATAATAAGTTTTCTTTGGGGACTATTTTGCCTCACAGCGCCCTGCATATTATGTATCCCTCCACCATGAATGGAGTTTAAGTTCTCTAAACTATCATAAAACAGTGTCTCAGTCATCAGGCAGTGAATTCATAACCATCTCATGTAGGAACTTTCTGTGAGGGAGCTTTTAGAGGTGGACGTCTGGTTCCTATCACCACCACTGTGAACTATTCTGAGTTTTACACCAAACCACTCTGAATGACATCTTAACCTTTTAATTATGCGGAAATAAAGTAGAATTCCCCTTTAAGTTACCCACATATGACATACTGCTCATTTTAAGGGGGTGGTGTTGTGTTAAAGGTTTCTGAAAGTACCCTGAGTTCTTTAGTAGTTGTTGTTTTAAGGACACTTTGGCCTTCAGGCCCCCACAGATCTGCTGTTCTTCTCACATGGTGTTTACATCATGAATAAATGCCTTTCTTTGGCTGATTTCCATTTTGCGCTGAAAGAAAATTGATGCATTTGAATTTCTATGGTTCAAATGTGTCAGTCGGTCACTCATAAACAAACAGTTGGTGTCCTTCTGGCAAGATTTTCGCAGCCAGTTGACGCATTTCATTCCTGTAAATTCACCGCATAGGCGGATGATGAGCACTGCAAACAAGGGGAAACAAGCATTCCATTTTGTCTTGCAGGGAATATCTGATTCATATCTCTGTTTTTTGTTGAAATGGAAAACTAGAGTTGGTTTATCTTTGCTTACATCAAAAGAAGAGAAAGGGAAACATTCTCAGGTTTCTTCTCCAAAAAATAAAGAGGGACAGTGAGAGGAAAATGCTGAAGAAGTGCTGGGAGCTGAGACAGGGAAAGAGAGAGAGCTGGTGAACGGAAAGGAGGATGAAGTGAAGGGAAGAAGAGGCCGGTTAAAGGCAGAAGCTGGGGTTCAGGGAGAGGTGGAGATGTTGTGAGGGCTCACATGGTTTGTCCATCTGCATTTTTATAACAAATAATTCAAACAAGTAATTAGGTGCTACCAACCGTTTGCTGCTCCCGTGTCCGTTTTGTCCCACTAGACGTCTAAAATCACTGGTGTAGGTGTATCGTTCATTAATAGGGATGCACTGATATGGGAATCGTGGACTAATTATGATATTTATTATTTACACTATATTGCCAAAAGTATTCACTCACCCATCCAAATCATTGAATTCGGGTGTTCCAATCACTTCCATGGCCACAGGTGTATAAAACCAAGCACCTAGGCCTGCAGACTGCTTCTACAGACATTAGTGAAAGAATGGGTCGCTCTCAGGAGCTCAGTGAACTCCAGCGTGGTATTGTGATAGGACGCCACCTGTGCAGCAAGTCCAATCGTGAAATTTCCTCACTACTAAATATTCCACAGTCAACTGTCAGTGGGATTATAACAAAGTGGAAGCGATTGGGAACGACAGCAACTCAGCCACGAAGTGGTCGGCTACGTAAAATGTCAGAGTGGGGTCAGCGGATGCTGAGGCGCATAGTGCGCAGAGGTCACCAACTTTCTGCAGAGTCAATCGCTACAGACCTCCAAACTTCATGTGGCCTTCAGATTAGCTGAAGAGCAGCATAGAGAGCTTCGTGGAATGGGTTTCCATGGCCGAGCAGCTGCATCCAAGCCTTACATCACCAAGCGCAATGCAAAGCGCCGAATGCAGTGGTGTAAAGCGCCGCCACTGGACTCTAGAGCAGTGGAGACCAGTTCTCTGGAGTGACCAATCACGCTTCTCCGTCTGGCAGTCCGATGGACGTGTCTGGGCTTGGCGGTTGCCAGGAGAACGGTACTTGTCTGACTGCATTGTGCCAAGTGTAAAGTTTGGTGGAGGGGGGATTATGGTGTGGGGTTGTTTTTCAGGAGTTGGGCTCGGCCCCTTAGTTACAGTGATAGGAACTCTTAATGCTTCAGCAGACCAAGAGATTTTGGACAATTTCATGCTCCCAACTTTGTGGGAACAGTTTGGGGAGTTTGGCCCCTTCCTGTTCCAACATGACTGCGCACCAGTGCACAAAGCAAGGTCCATAATGACATGGATGAGCGAGTTTGGTGTGGAAGAACTTCACTGGCCTGCACAGAGTCCTGACCTCAACCCGATAGAACACCTTTGGGATGAATCAGAGTGGAGACTGAGAGCCAGGCCTTCTCGCCCAACATCAGTGTCTGACCTCACAAACGCGCTTCTAGAAGAATGGTCAGAAATTCCCATAAACACTCCTAAACCTTGTGGAAAGCCTTCCCAGAACAGTTGAAGCTGTTATAGCTGCAAAGGGTGGGCCGACATCATATTAAACCCTATGGATTAAGAATGGGATGTTACTCAAACTCAAAACGAATACTTTTGGCAATATAGTGCATCATGTGCAAATCTTCCGATGTTGATAGGTAAACATATAAATTAGCATATAAATTAGTTGAGATCGGTATGTCGGTATGTCGTTATGCAGCACATGTATCGGTGTATCGGAGAGTCGCGACCCAGATTCCAATCCTCATCTTACCATGAACCTGTGGCGACTTGAGTCTGGACAATTTCGGATTTTGCGGCCTGTTGGAGCTCTTAGAGCCCAGATATGATCTGCCATCCAGAAAACACATTATAGAGACTGTTAAACCCAAACTGTACAACCGAGTGTCACACAGTTAGCGGCGCATATACATGTTAAAGCCATGAGCTTCAAATCAAATCTTATTTATTGTCACATTTACACAGATGTGAAGGTGAGTGAAAATCTTAGGAGCGCAGCCCCCTTGTAGAACTTAAATACCTAAAATATATATATATATATATATAAAAAATTAAAAACATACACAGATGTACACTTTTGTAACAGTAATATAAGTTGAAATAAAGGCTATGATATGTACAGTTGTGCACGTTTATACCGATCAGGCGTAACATTATGACCCCCTACTTGTTTCTGCACTCATTGTCCATTTTATCAGCTCCACTTACTATATAGGTGCACTTTGTAGTTCTACAGTTACAGACTGTAGTCCACCTGTTTCTCTGCATACTTTGTTACCCTGTTCTTCAGTGGTCAGGACCCCCATGGACCCCCACAGAGCAGATACTATTTGGGTGGTGGATCATTCTCAGCACTGTAGTAACACTGACGTGGTGGTGGTGTGTTAGTGCGTGTTGCGCTGGTCTGAGTAGATCAGACACAGCAGTGAACTTGATGAAATGGTTAGTTAGCATTCACTTTCAGTGCGAAGACAAATTGGATAATTTTTGTCTTCTTTCATATTTGTCTGCAATCATATCAACTAATATGTTTTGGTAGAGTTTACGTTCTAATAGTGATATTCGGCTGGACGTTCCCATGGTACGCTCTGAATATGGCGAGGCAGCTTTTAGTTACAGCGCTCCATCTACGTGGAATGATCTGCAAAAACATTTGAAAGTGGAGCCGTTTATTTCTGAGAGTGATTTGTTAAGTGTATCATTCTGTTTGTTCTTGTTTTTAATTTCTCTGATGTGATTCTGTTGGTTGTGGTGGTGTTTCTTTGTTGATTGTTTTGTGTGCTGCCCTCTTGGCCAGGGCTCACTTGTAAAAGAGATTTTTAATCTCAGTGTGATTTACTCTGGTTAAATGAGGTGAAATAAAATAAAAAAAGAAACAGAACAGAAATTAAGGTGCTAAAATCGTTTCGTAATGATCTGTATATTTCCTTACTTATTAGTAATAAAAGAAACAAATCGCCCAGCGATTGTTGTTAGAGAAACATTTAGACAGATGAGTGATGGATTAATAATCGTGCACCGTGTAAACGAACTGAACTTATCTTTTTATTTGACTGTCTTTGGGTTTTTGAACTAATGTAGGAAAAGTTGGCAATGAAAACGGACTAGCAACGTCCTCAAGGTAACACTGTATACCGCTGTAATATTTGGAGGCTGTCTAAAGATATAAAAAGCGGATACTGTCCAACCCTAATGCGGATATTATTCCGATATCAGTGTGCAGTCCTGTTAATTACCAGGTTCTCATGGCAGCTGACCTGTAGAATAATGCTGACCTGAAAGTATGCAGGCTTCTCACGGCCTGTTTTTTTGGGACTTGCGCGCTGCTGTCATTGTAAACATGGGCAGAGGCTTAGAATTTTACCTCAACTGACCTTTATGCACCTTAAAGGTCATTAATGTATGTATAACTTATT